CTATCTGCCGCCCATCTTAGAGCACACCTCGCGATTTCCAGAAGACCGAGTGCCGCGCAGTCCTGCGCGAGCTATCGCAATCAGATGCGCCAGACGGTCAGGCTCCACTCGCGTTGGCACAGGAGTTACCGAAGCAGCGCGCGTTGGTTGTCGTGTCATCTCGGCCGTTGAACGCCGGTATCAGCAATCGCGCCACTCCTTTCGGCAGTCAGCAAGACGCGGCATCGTGGGGTCAGCAATCACTTGAGACTACGCGCAGTGAAGTGTCGACCTCGACATGGATTAACCATAGATCCCGGAGCAGCCGAAGGTCTACTTGACGACGGTTGAATCAGTCTCGCTCCTTGCGTTCTCAGTTCCTTCATACGTTGCAGACGCGATGGGGCATCAGTGCTGGAATTGCGCAGATGCAGTCAATTCAGATGGCCCCAACCAGTGGCAACTACAAGCAGTTGAAGAGCGCACTGGAGCGTTCACACAATAATTGTGACAGGGTTGGGTTGTATTTCGTGAAATGCACTAGCGCAGTAAGATTTTGCTGCATCGATGACGCAGCACCTGCTGCCGAGACTGCGCCATGCGCACGCGATGCTCAGGGATCATTTCTCGTGGAAGATCGAACGTCGGATTTTGACCATGATGGCGTTGTCAAGAAGTGCGACGATCAACGTGTGCTTGGACAGACGCATCCATTGATTGGTCAGAGCCGCGCGTGAAAGAAGGCTTTCTTCTCGATGGGTCACGCAGCGGTGGTGGCAGCAGTTGGTCGATCTCAGTCGGCACAGTTTCCTGGTCTTTGTTTTTCAGAACTGTTGACGCATACTCAACTGAATCGAGCGTCAGAAGGGGGCATTGAACGGCGCATGGGATGGCGAGATCAGGGGCGTTCGGTACGGCCGATTGACTTGGTCACGGACTGCTCCGGCCTCTTCCAGCCCGTCGCGGGCGCTAATGGAATCACATCGAACAAGACGCAACGTTTGGGTATATTGAGTCTTCGAGAAGATCGGTTAGCTGGACGCGTACGACGAGTATATTTTTGGCCCGCTGCAGTCATGACGATGGGTGCATTGACGACGCAAGGTTTGTTTCCACAAGTTTAGGACTTCTTGATCAGTGGCAGCATCACGAGTGCGGGACTTTCAAGATCAAGAATGGCATTGACAAACAGTTTCGCGTGAGAGACTTGTTTCGATACGGACTTTATTTGAAGCAGATCTCATCGCTAGAGAGGACTCCCAGGTGACAGCTGACATCGATCACAGCGTGGAGGCGGACGGCTTGGGAACAGGCACGTGCAGAACTTTGAGTGCACCGTGCAGTTTAAGTGCGAGGCTTGACCGTTCCGGCAATGCTTTCGGTCAGTCGCATCCAGGAGTGGAGTGGCAGGGTGGATAAAATGGAGCACGTTTTATCACCACTGTGGTTTTCATGTTTTTTGGGGCAACCCGAAGCACAGAGCCAGAGTGAGATTTAGGATCCCTGGTCGGGTTGCCTTGGACTTCAGAAGCAATGGGAGGCATTTCCGCCGCGGCTGGACGCGCTCACCTTTTTTCGCTGTTGGGTACGTTCGCCACGTGCCAGCACAATCGTCAATGCCGTTGAAATTCGGGGCCAAAAACCCGCTGGAGGAAGAAGATGTGGAGGAGGAGGAAGAGTACCAATGCAAACGCCAGACTCATCAACGCTATTGCAATAAACCCTTCCCCCCAGCTCTCTCTTCATAGCCCCATACAAGGCTTATTTAATCGCTTCGCTCCGCCGGCCCTGGAGCCCTCTTTAGGACCTCTTGGGGGCTTCTTCTGGACCTCTTGGGAGTTTCTTGGGGCTCCTTGGCGGCGTCTTGGGGCCCCCCAGGGCCTCTTGGGGGGCTTTTGGGGGCCTCTTGGGGCGGGGGGGGGGGTAGTTGATTGCGGTTCCCCCCACCGGAGGCCACGATCCTCGTAAGGTGTGTCGAATTATCCCGGCAAAGCAACCTAACAGCGATGTGTAGGAGCATATCTGGAAGCATTCCCCTTAAGATTCGGATGAGAATCCAGTTGTAGAATTTTGCTGCTCTCGCAGTCGTAGTCGCATTCGCGATGACAGTCGCAGTGGCAACGGCAGTCGCAGTCACAGCCTCAGCCTCGGCCTGCCTCAGCCTCAGCCTCAGCCTGCCTCAGCCTCAGCCTGCCTCAGCCTCAGCCTCAGCCCGCTTCAGCCTCAGCCTCAGTCTGCCTTCAGCCTCGGCCTCAGCCTCAGCCTGCCTCAGCCTCAGCCTGCAGCCTCAGCCTCAGCCTCAGCCTGCCTCAGCCTCAGCCTGCCTCAGCCTCAGCCTCAGCCTGCCTCAGCCTCAGCCTCAGCCTGCTTCAGCCTCAGCCTCAGTCTGCCTTCAGCCTCGGCCTCAGCCTCAGCCTGCCTCAGCCTCAGCCTGCATCAGCCTCAGCCTCAGCCTCAGCCTGCCTCAGCAGCCTCAGCCTGCCTCAGCCTCAGCCTCAGCCTGCCTCAGCCTCAGCCTCAGCCTGCTTCAGCCTCAGCCTCAGTCTGCCTCAGCCTCGGCCTCAGCCTCAGCCTGCCTCAGCCTCAGCCTGCATCAGCCTCAGCCTCAGCCTCAGCCTGCCTCAGCATCAGCCTGCCTCAGCCTCAGCCTCAGCCTGCCTCAGCCTCAGCCTCAGCCTGCTTCAGCCTCAGCCTCAGCCTTCAGCCTCGGCCTCAGCCTCAGCCTGCCTCAGCCTCAGCCTGCCTCAGCCTCAGCCTCAGCCTCAGCCTGCCTTCAGCCTGCCTCAGCCTCAGCCTCAGCCTCAGCCTCAGCCTCAGCCTCCTGCCTCAGCCTCAGCCTCAGCCTCAGCCTCAGCCTCAGCCTCAGCCTCAGTCAGCCTCAGCCTCAGCCTCAGCCTCACAGCCTGCCTCAGCCTCAGCCTCAGCCTCAGCCTCAGCCTCAGCCTCAGCCTGCCTCAGCCTCAGCCTCAGCCTGCCTCAGCCTCAGCCTGCCTCAGCCTCAGCCTCAGCCTGCTTCAGCCTCAGCCTCAGTCTGCCTTCAGCCTCGGCCTCAGCCTCAGCCTGCCTCAGCCTCAGCCTGCATCAGCCTCAGCCTCAGCCTCAGCCTGCCTCAGCATCAGCCTGCTCAGCCTCAGCCTCAGCCTGCCTCAGCCTCAGCCTCAGCCTGCTTCAGCCTCAGCCTCAGTCTGCCTTCAGCCTCGGCCTCAGCCTCAGCCTGCCTCAGCCTCAGCCCTCAGCCTGCCTCAGCCTCAGCCTCAGCCTCAGCCTCAGCCTGCCTCAGCCTCAGCCTCAGCCTGCCTCAGCCTCAGCCTCAGCCTCAGCCTCAGCCTCAGCCTCAGCCTGCTTCAGCCAAAGCCTCAGTCTGCCTTCAGCCTTGGCCTCAGCCTCAGCCTGCCTCAGCCTCAGCCTGCATCAGCCTCAGCCTCAGCCTCAGCCTGCCTCAGCCTCAGCCTGCCTCAGCCTCAGCCTGCCTCTGCCTCAGCCTCAGCCTGCTTCAGCCTCAGCCTCAGTCTGCCTTCAGCCTTGGCCTGAGCCTCAGCCTGCCTCAGCCTCAGCCTGCATCAGACTGGGAGTGTAATTCTAGGAACTCGAAGAACACGAAGTGGCCTACAGTTGGCTCCGGGCATTCAAAATGTGGCCCGGGAATGGAGTTCTGGGAACTCGAAGACCACGAAGTGGCCTACAGTTGGCTCCGGGCATTCAAAATGTGGCCCAGGAATGGAGTTCTGGGAACTCGAAGAGCACGAAGTGGCCTACAGTTGGCTCTGGGCATCCAACATGTGGCCCGGGAATGGAGTTCTGGGAGGTCGAAGAGCACGAAGTGTGTGACTGTTTGCGAAAAACGAGTTCGGACCCAGCTCCCCGGATGCCGCCCGGACCCCCCTGTGGAGTCATCTGCTGCTCTCTTTTGACCTTATTAGAAACCTATCAGTCTTCGCTGTTAGGTAAAAATGACACCTGGTGTGCTCTGGGGGCTTATCCTGGCTAGTTGCCGGGCCACTTATGGTCCGGGGGCCCCCAGGGGCCGCTCCGCTCGCGCGAACCAGAAATACGGTTGACGAGTTACCCGAGATCTTAGCACGCCTCTGGCCCGTTGGGCCAACGAATTCTCGATGGAGGCCATTACTGGGATTTCAACATTACGAATCAACGTAGTTGCTGCGCTTTGACAGTCCGATATCGTACCGAAACACAATTTCTGGGATTGTGCGCGGCGCGAAGGCCAGAGCCACATTTTGAAAGGGAGCCGCCCTCAATTTGTAAAAGACCCACAATGTTTTAAGTCGACTGTGCGCGGCGTTGAGGCGAGATCCGCATTTTGAAAGCGCCCCGCCCTAAAACCGTGAAGCTTCGTTCAAATGTTTAACACGGATGCTCGCGGCGATTCAGCGAGAACCACAGTTTGAAAACGATGTGTCCTCAATCTGCGAACTTCCTGCAATGGTTTAAAACGGATGCGCGCGGTGCTCAAACGAGCCACAGAAACGACCCGCCTTCCATCCTTGAAACGGCAGCAGAGTTGAATCGCCAGGGTGAGGAAATGTCAGGCGAAACGCCCTGCCCGCCCTTCCGACTGGCTTCGGGGTGCGACAAGGAGGAGTTACTCGTAAGGAAAAAGATTGGAGGAGAAGGAGGGGGAAGGGGAAGATGACGAGGAGGAGCAGGAGAACGAGCGTGGGGGAGGAGGAGAAAAGGGTGGAAGAGGAGGAGGAGGAGGAGAAGCGTGGATGGGGAAGGAGGGAAGAAGACTGATGATGATGATGATGATGATGATGCTGATGATGATGATGATGATGATGATGATGAGGATGAGGAGGAGGAGGAGGAGGAGGAGGAGGAGGAGGAGGAGGAGGAGGAGGAGGAGGAGGAGGAGCAGGAGGAGCAGGAGGAGGAAGATGAGGAGAAGCGTGGTGGACGAGAAACGTGGAGGAACAGAATCGTGGAGGAGGAGGAGAAGGAGGAGAAGCGCGGATGAGGAAAGCTGGGGAGGGTGGGAGGAAGCACGGCGCGTTCCGTCCGCCAGCCCGCTTCGCCCGAGCGGCCCTCCCGGCAGTCCGCTGGCCGCCGGGCCCCGCGGGCCTATGGAGAGGTCACCGGCGACCGCGGACGCGGCCGCCGCCGCGGCCAGCCTGACCGCCAAGCAGCTCACGGCGGCTTCAGGGGGCGTCGTTATCGTCGCTGTAGTTGGCGTTGTCCGTCCTCGTTATCATCTTCGGTGGTCGTCCCCGTCGCTGGGGGGTAGTTGGGGAGGGGGGTGGGCCAAGCTAGGTGCGCCAGCGTCACATCTGACGTCCTACCCCTCCTTCCCTTTCCTTACCATGGCCATGGCGTAGACCTCCAATAGATTCGCACAGTCGGATGTCGAGCAGGACAATGATCCCAAGAGGGTACGCGATGGGTGCAAAAGCACAGCGTAGAAGAGCACGGCAGAACATAGCATGTCATAGCATGGCGTGGCATTGCGTAGTGAAGCATTGCATCACAAAGCATAGTAATGCAAAGCATGGCATCGCACAGCTGTGCACAACACAGCACCGCATTGCATGCCGTGGCACGGCATCGGATGACCTGGAGGGTAAGTGGCCCGTCTACGAGAGGCCAGGGCTTGCCCCGAATGTCGGCTCCATGTCCTCGGCACCCGTGCCTGCCCGATGTGGGCGCTTTCGAATGCCAAGTGCCGTCGGGAGGCTCGGGAACGAGGTCAGCGCTGCAGCGGAAGCACGATTTTGAATGGCCGAAGCGCGGAAATGACGGCGGCGCTTCAGCGGGAACACCATTTCGGAAGAACCAGAAACGACTGGATTGAACAAACACACAGAGCAAACTAAGTGAAGAAATTTTGTGTGTGAAAAGCAATGCGTGGAGAGGACGGGACGCTCTCGGGACAGAGTCAGGAGAGAGAGAGGAGAGTAGCACTCATACTGTGCAACAGTAGAGGGAGGAGGAGGTGGAGGGGAGAAACAGGGCGGAGGGAGCTGGGGGGCAGGCAGGGGCGGAGAAGAGAGGAGGAGTGGACGAGGGGGCAGGGGGGGGGAGAGAACGGTCTCGCCCCCGTCCCCTGTCTCGCCTCCTCTTCCTCATCGCCCTGCACATCGGAAAGCGCCACGGCGAGAGTGACAAGCGAAAGCAGCACCTGAGGGTGATGGTGAGCGGCTTCGGCATCCTTGGGGGACGGGGGTTTCTTGGAGGCGTGCTGGAGGACATCTTGGGCCAATTCGGGCCACCTGACGCGATATCGCCAGCAATCTCGAGGCATTCTGGCGCCCATTTTGACGCCATCCAGAGCCGCGACGGGCACTCAAAGCCACCCGCCGCAGACCCCCAGGGAGGGAGGGGGTAATCACAAGCTAGGTGCGCTCGCGTCATATCTGACGTCCTACCCCTCCCTCCCATCCCTTACCATGGCGCTGATTTTCTCTATCCGCGGACGCGTGTCGTAGCGGACCTGTGGCTCCGCGCGCGCGTGCGTAGTGGGTGGTGGTGCGCGTGCGTGCGTGCGTGCGTGTGTGCGTGGTTGTGGTGGTGGTGGGTAAGCCCCTCCCCGCAGGAAATGACGGGGCAGGTTTGCCAGAGCGGACCTGCCAACACACTAGTTCCAGAGGACTTGCGGGATTAGAAAAAAACGCTTCAATCAAAGCGATGGAGTCGTTTGACCTCTTTTTGCCGCCGTCTCTGTGCCACCGCCGCCGCCCGCTGCTGATGTGCCGTATTGCGCTTCCGCAGCTATTGAGTTTATGAGTAAGCAAGCACCGCTGGCCTGCGCATGCGTTGGTAAAAAGGCAACGCGCGTTGGGTCGTTGCCGTCGCCGCCCTGGGCAAAAGCCAGAGGGAAGAGGGGGTAGAAACGCCGAGTGCGGGCAAGGACGCACACGGCACCCAGTCCCCCGGTGGCCGTCGGCGTTGGCCACGGCCCAATAGGGCCTCCCTGGCCCGCCCTCGACTGCCTTCCCGCCACCGGCGCGCTTCTCCCCGCCCCGCCCCGCCCCGCTCCTACAGAGCTTTCAGTGGCAACGACGGGCTGCGGGGCGGGGCTGGTCCAGTGGGGGGGAAGCATCGACCACCAATCGACCACACACAAACAGACAATCGGTGCTTGGGCGCCCCAGGAACGTGCGCTCTGGTTACCGAGGGCCCGTCGCTGATCCTTCGGCGACGCATCGCCAGTTCCAGGCCCATGTTGGTTCCCCCGTCATCGCTTTTCCCCCGAAGACTGGGGCCTCGCGGCGACCGGCCCGGCGCGCGGTCAGGTGGAGCACGCGGGCGAGAACCGCACGTTGTTGCTTGTCGAGGGTGCGGAGGCCGCGGCGCTGGCCCAGGCGCTGTCTGGCTGGCTGGGCCACTCGCGGTGCCGTTGGCGGCGGCGGCAGCGGCAGCGGCGACGACTCGGAGGAGAGCAGAAGAGGAAAAGGTACCCACATTTCTACCGTTCTCTCGGGCTTCGCCCTCTTGGGCCTCCTGGGGGGCCCTCGTCGCCACGGCTGGATTTGCCTTGAAATTTTGGTCGCAACGCACCCCGGCAGACGTCTGGGGAGTGGCAGTAATGTCCGCTTGTGATTATTAAAGGATCCCCCCGGGGCTGATGAATAGCCCCCGCGGGGCGCGAATCATGTTTTTTGTTGTTTATCACGCGCGCCATGGAGTTGTCGCGGGCGCCGCCGAGGGGATCGTGCACCCCCGTTCACGGCAGCCTCAAAACGATTGCCTGTCGCATAGAAGTTCTTGAAGGGACCACATACATCCGAGGCGAAGTCCTTTTCCATTTCAGGCTGATAGCTGGCGTTCCACACTCGTCGTCGTCCGTCGTCGTCCGTCGTCGTCGTCGTCGTCGTCGTCGTCGTCGTCGTCGTCGTCGTCGTCGTCGTCGTCGTCAACAGCAACAACAGTGGGCCTACGCAGCACCACCCCGCATGGGGCATCCGAAGTCCGTCGTCGTCGTCGTCGACGACGTGTGCGTCGACGTTACGACAACGACCTACGCAGCACCACCCCACATGGGACATCCGAAGTCCGTCGTCGTCGTCGTCGTCGCCGCCGTCGTCGTCGTCGTCGTCGTCGACGATTACAGCGGGCATGCGTAGCACACCCGCCCCCCCCCCCCCCCCTGGAGCATCCACAGTGCGTCGCTGTCCGCTGTCGCCGTCGGCGTCGTCGCCGTCGTAGAACATATTGTAGTGGAGGTGGGAAAAAGCAGGCACCCTTTCCGCCTGCCTCTGCCGCTCATCCCCCGTCCCCCCGTTTCGGTTGCAGCCATTCGAGTTGAGGCGCCTCTTCCCCCCGCTTCGTTTTTGTTGTGCTGTTCGTTACGATTTTGGCCCAAATGTTTCAATCCTTTGGTTACGCTGTTGTCCCCCTCCGTTGAAACGGCGCCGCTTGCGTCGCGCTTGTCGCCCTCCCGGTGGCGGCCGGGCGTCCGCGCCACTCACCAGCGCCGCCGCGGCGCGTGTCCATTTGGCGGGCGCCCCCCCCCAAGTCGCCCGTGCAAGGGAACCATTTGTCCCAATCATCTTGCGGTGTTGGGTCCTCGCTTTGCAAGGATAAGCCGCGCCCGGCGTTCCTTCGTTCCTCCTCTCCTCCTCCCCCTCTTCCCTCCTGTGCCACTGCGCCTCGTCCTCCACATGTTTCTGTTTCGGCACACCCCTCACGCGCTTCATGGCCTCATAGGGAGCTCCACCGAAGGCCCCAGTGGCAGGGTTCGCATGGCGGCCCTGGCCCAATCACGGCACACCCCTCACACGCTTCGTGGCCCCATCAGTATGTCCATCAAAGAACCCAGGGGCAGGGTTCGCATGGCGGTTCCGTCGCGTTTCGGCACGTCCCCCACACGTTTCGCGGCCCCATAGGGAGCTCCACCGAAGGCCCCAATGGCAGGGTTCGCATGGCGGCCCAGGCCCATGTCGGCGCACCCCTCACACGTTGCGTGGCCCCATAGGGAGTTCCACCGAAGGCCCCAGTGGCAGGGTTCGCATGGCGGCCCCGCCCCATTTCGGCACACCCCTCACACGTTCCGCGGCCCCAATAGGCAGCTGCACCGAAAGCGCAGGTGGCAAGGGTCGCATGGAGGCCCAGGCCCATGTCGGCACACCCCTCACGCGTTTCGGGGCCCCATAGGGAGCTCCACCGAAGGCCCCAGTGGCAGGGTTCGCATGGCGGCCCCGCCCGATTTCGGCACACCCCTCACACGTTCCGCGGCCCCAGAGGCAGCTCCACCGAAGGCCCCAATGGCAGGGTTCGCAAGGCGGCCCCGCCCGATTTCGGCGCACCTCTCACACGTTCCGCGGCCCCATAGGCAGCTCCACCGAAGGCCATTCTGGCACACCCCGCAAGCTCCAGCGGCAGGATTCGCATGGCGTCCCCGCCGGCACACGCCCCCAAGCCGTGACACCTTGTGTAAATGTTGATAACGAATATGCGCCTCTTGCGTCGCGCTTGTCGCCTTCCCGCTGGCGGCCGGGCGTCGGCGCCAATCACCAGCGCCGCCGCGGCGCGTGTCCATTTGGCGGGCGCCCCCCCCCCCGCGATTCGCCCGAGCAGGGGAACCATTTGTTCCAACCATCCTGCGGTGTTGGGTCCTCGTTTTGCTTGTTTTGCAGAGATAGACCGTGCCCCGCGTTCCTTCGTTCCTCCTCTCCTCCTCCCCCCCTTCCCTCCTGCGCCACTGCGCCTCGTCCTCCACATGTTTCTGTTTCGGCACATCCTTTTCATTTTTCGCGGCCCCATAGGGAGCTCCACCGAAGGCACCAATGGCAGGGTTCGCATGGCGGCTCCGGCCCATTTCGGCACACCTGTCACACGTTTCGTGGCCCCATATAGATTTCCACCGAAGGCCTCGGCGGCAGGGTTCGCATGGCGGCCCAGGCCCTTTTCGGCACACCCGTCACACGCTGCGTGGCCCCGTATGAAGTTCCACCGAAGGCCCCGATGGCAGGGTTCGCATGGCGGCCCTGGCCAAATAACGGCACACCCCTCACACGCTCCGTGGCCCCGTAAGGAGTTCCATCGAAGACCCCAGTGGCAGGGTTCGCATGGCGGCGCCGCCCTACTTCGGCACATCACCCACACGTTTCGTGGCCCCATAGGGGGTTCCACCGAAGGCCCCAGTGGCAGGGTTCGCACGGCGGCCCAGTCTATTTCGGCACACCCCTCACACGCTGCGTGGCCCCATAGGGAGTTCCACCGAAGGCCCCAGTGGCAGGGTTCGCATGGCGGCCCCGCCCCATTTCGGCATACCCCTCACACGTTCCGTGGCCCCATAGGCAGCTCCCGGCAGGCCCAGGTGGCAAGGGTTGCATGGCAGCCCCGCTGCATGTCGGCACACCCCTCACGCGTTTCGGGGCCCCATAGGGAGCTCCACCGAAGGCCCCAGCGGCAGGGTTCGCATGGCGGCCGCGCTGCATGTCGGCACACCCCTCACACGTTTCGGGCCCCATAGGGAAGTCCACCGAAGGCCCAGGTGGCAAGGTTCGCATGGCGGCCCCGCCCCGCTTCGGCGGAGGAGGAGGAGGAGGAGGACGCGGGAGGAGGAGGAGGAGGCGAGAGGCGAGAAGAGAGAGGAGGAAGGAGGGAGGGAGGAAGGGAGGGAGGAAGGGGAGGAGGAGGAGGAGGAGGAGGAGGTGGAGGAGGAGGAGGAGGAAGACCAGTGTAAATCCAAGAGTCATCAGCGATGTTGGAATAAATCCTCCCTCAGGCTCCCTCTTCATAGGCCCCTACAACGGTGCATTTCCCTTTGAGGAATTGCTTTTTTGGAAGACAACCGTCTGGAGACCCTGAAGCATGCCAAAATATTTTTTTCGGGATTCCAACGCCACGGATCAACCTGATCGTTGCGTATCGACAAGCCCGAATCGCGCCAGAACGCCATTCCTGGGACTTCAACATAGCGAATCGACATAATTGTTGCACCAGCATAATCCGGAACCCGTTCGAAGAGTTATTTCTATCACGTGGGTGATGGGAATCCGTGGAACCCCTTGCAATGTTTCAACTGAATGTGCGCCGCGCGAGGGCGAGAGCCACATTTTGAAAAGGAACCGCCTACTCTCCGCGAAACTCTTGCAACTTTTTAGAACGAATGTGCGCCGTGCGGAGGCGAGAACCACTTTAACAAAAAAAACGCCCCCCAAGCCGTGAAACTTGTTGCATTTGTTTAAAACGAATGTGCGCCGCTCTGACGCGAGAACCACATGTTGAAAGCCAATTGCCCTCAATCCATGAAGCTCTTGCACATGTTTAAAACGAATGTACGCCACGCTAAGGCGAGAGCCACATTTTGAAAACGACCCGCCCTCAATCCGTGAAGCTCTTGCACATGTTGAAAACGAATGTGCGCCGCGCTAAGGCGAGAGCCACATTTTGAAAGCGACCCGCCCTTCATCTGTGAAACTGTTGCACATGTTTAGCTTCAGAATCATAACATGGTGAGGGAGTCTCAGGCGAAACGCCCAGCCCGCCCTGATAACTGGCCTCGGGGTGCGGCAGGGAAAAATTGTTTATAAGGAAAAGAAAGTGAGGAGGAGGAGGAGGAGGAGGAGGAGGAGGAGGAGGAGGAGGAGGAGGAACGAGGAACGAGGAGGAGGAGGAGGAGGAGGAGGAAGAGGAGGAGGAGGAGGAGGAGGAGGAGGAAGAGGAGGAGGAGGAGGAGGAGGAGGAGGAGGAGGAGGAGGGAGAGGAGGAGGGGAGGAGGAGGAGACCGAGGAGGATGCGGAGGAGGAGGACACCGAGGAGGACCCTGCGAAACAGAGCCTTCTCAGCGCCTGGTGTGCAACGAAGGAAGGAGGAGGAGGAGGAGAGGAGGAGGAGGAGGAGGAGGAGGAGTAGGAGGAGGAGGAGGAGGAGGAGGAGGAGGAGGAGGAGGAGGAGGAGGAGGAGGAGGAGGAGGAGGAGGAGGAGGAGGAGGGGGGGGGGAGGGAGGAGAGGAGGAAGGGAGGAGGGGGAGGAGGAGGAGGAGGAGGAGGAGGAGGGGAGGAGGAGGAGGAGGAGGAGGAGGAGTAGGAGGAGGAGGAAGGAGCGAGGAGGAGGAGGAGGAGGAGGCGGAGGAAGGAGGAGGAGGAGAGGAGCGGAGGAGGTAGGAGGAGAGGAGGAGGAGGAGGAGGAGGAGGCGGAGGAGGAGGAGGAGGAGGAGGAGGAGAGGAAGGAGGAGGAGGAGGAGGAGGAGGAGGAGGAGGAGGAGGAGGAGGAGGAGGAGGAGGAGGAGGAGGAGGAGGAGGACGAGGAGGAGGAGGAGGAGGAGGAGGAGGAGGAGGGAGGCGGAGGAGGAGGAGAGGAGGAGGAGGAGGAGGAGGAGGAGGAGGAGGAGGAGGAGGGGAGGGGGGAGGGGAGGGTGGGGGGGGCGAGGAGGAGGAGGAGGAGGAGGAGGAGGAGGAGGAGGAGGAAGGAGGAAACAGGAGGAGGAGAGAGGAGGAGGAGGGAAAGAGAGGAGGGGGAGGAGGAGGAGGAGATCGAGGAGGAGGAGGAGGAGAGGACGGACAACGAGGAGGAGGAGGAGGAGGAGGACGACGAGTCCCCGTCGCCTCGCTCGCTGCCCACACGGCTGACCTCCCGACGCCCGCTCTGCGGCCGCCCCCCGCGCCCCTTCGGGCGACCGCCCCCCCCTTGAACGCAGCGCCGCGTGGCCTCCGGTCGCGTGTTGCGCTCGGTGGGCCGGCCGCGTTCCTGATGTCGGAAACTGCTCCTCCTCCTCCTCCTCCTCCTCCTCCTCCTCCACGTCCTCCTCCTCGTCCTCCTCCTCCTCTTCCTGTTCTTCCTCCTCCTCCTCCCTCTCCTCCTGTTTCTCATCCTCCGCCTCCTCCTCCTCCTCCTCCTCGTCCCAGTTTCTGGCATCAGAAAAGCTGCTCCTCCTCCTCCTCCTCCTCCTCGTCCTCCTCCTCGTCCTCCTCCTGTTCCTCCTCCTCCTCGTCCTCCTCCTCCTCCTTCTCCTTCTCCGCCTCCCCCCAGTTTCTGATATCAGAGAAGCTGCTGCTCCCAGCTTGCTGTCAGCGAGCGGTGCAAGCAGAACACGAGGAGGCGACGACGGCACCTCCAGCGGTTTTCCGAGTCTCCGGACGACGACGACACACCTCCAGCGGTCCTCCAAGTCTCGGGTCGGACGAACGGGGCAGGGGGATCGGGAAAGGCAGACGGACGAAATCTGCTGCATGCAGCTGGTTTCGGCCCCGCCGCCGGGCGCTTTTCTCTGTACATCAGCGCCTCCGGCGCCGGGAGCTGATTCGTCCTGTCCCACCCTTTTGCTGTCCCACCCTTTCGTCTGACCCGACAGTCTCAGGGAGGGGGGTCCGCGCCCGTCCCTCCCGAGCCCCGAGGTTCTACCTCACGCGGCCTGGCGACGACGCGATCGTGCCGCTCACGGCCGCGCTGCCTGGCGGCCCACGCTCGTCGTCGTCGTCCTCGGCGGCGCCGTCCTCGGCGCGGTCCTCGGCGCTGTCCCCTCCCTCGTCGTTGCCCTCATGCCGTCGCCTTCTCCGTCCCCGTCGTCTTCCGCGTCCCCGGCTTTCGCCGCCGTCCGCGCCGCTGCCGTCCAGGCCTCAGCGGGCGAAGAACGGTATAGTATGACATAAACTTTTGCGCTGTCGGGGGCTCCTGTCCCAGGGCGGCTGGGAAGTGTATACCCTTACGGCGGCACCGTAGGGGTATAAACTTTCCAGCCGCCCTGGGGCAGGCGCCCCCGACAGCGAACAAGTTAATTTTATACCGCTCTTCGCCCGTTAAAGGCCGTCGCCCGCCGCCGCCGCCCGCCGCCGCCCTCCAGGCGGCGGCCCGTCGCTCTCGCTGGCCGCGCCGCCCGCGGCAGCCAGGCGGCGGCCCGTCGCTCTCGCTGGCCGCGCCGCCCGCGGCAGCGAGAGAGCTCCGCCGCGCCTCGGGGTGCGCGCGGCGAGCGGCGGCGGCCACCTGCCGCGCCTCCACAGTGCAGTCACGAGGGGGGGTCGGTCAGTTGCTCGTCCTCCTCCCTCTCCTCCTCTTCTCCTCCTCCTCCTCTCCTCTCTCCTCCTCCTCCTCTTTCTCCTCCTCTTTCTCCTTCTCCTCGTCCTCCTCCTCCTCCTCCTCCTCCCCTCCCCTCCTCCTCCCGTCCTCCTCTTCCTCTCCTCCTCCTCCTCGTCCTCCTCCTCCTCCTCCTCCTCTCCTCCTCCTCCTCTCCTCCTCCTCCTCTCTCTCTCATCCTCTTTCTCTCCTCTCCCTCCTCCTCGTCCGTCCTCCTCCTAATTCCTCCTCTTCTTCCTCCCTCCTCCTCCTCTCTGCCCCTCTCTCCTCCTCCTCCTCCTCTCCTCCTCCTCCCTTCTCTCCTCCTCCTCCTCCTCCTCCTCTCTCCTCATCCTCATCCTCTCCTCATCCTTCTCTCCTCCTCCTCCTCATCATCATCATCATCATCAGCAGCATCATCATTATCATTACCTCATCATCACCAGCATCATCATCAGCTCATCGTCATCATCATCACCATCATCATCATCATCATCATCATCATCATCATCATCAGCAGCAGCAGCAGCAGCAGCATCAGCATCAGCATCAGCATCAGCATCAACATCATCAACATCATCATCATTATCAGCATCATCATCCTCATCATCAGCATCATCATCACCATCACCATCATCATCATCATCATCATCATCATCATCATCATCATCATCATCATCATCATCATCATCATCATCTCGATCCTCCGCCTCCTTTGGGGGTGCACCAAAAGCTCGCAGCGTGAGCCCTTTCCCAAATCTATGTTTGGATGCGGATCGCTAGCGCGCCGCGTCTCCCTCGTCGTCGTCGGCGTCGTCGTGTTCGTGGTGCTGCTCGGCGTCGTCGGTGCCCTTCTCGGGACTGATTTCCCGTATGCAGTGACCCTTCGGTTCTCCGCCTTTAGCGCTACACCAACTTAGGCTGCCGTGAGTCGTCGCGTCTTCCCACTAGCGGTCCAGTGGAGAAGGAAGAACACACGAACAGGGCCAAGCTCGAACTCTTGTCACCCCAGTGCGCACTGAGCGGCGCAGGAGGTCAGCAGAAGCAGCGATCTCCCCCCGCCTCCCCCTCCCCCTGGCCCCTCTATTCCTCGGAGGGCTCCGCCCGGGGGGCTGGGACGGAACGCGCCGGTCGCTCCTTTGAAAGCCGCGGGCCGTCGGACTCGCGCGCATCGAGGCGCGGTCCGACAAAATCCCCCCCCCTCCCCCCCCCCGGGTGCCAGGAGGCCGTCTGCCATGGAGCCCGCCCCCTCCAGGCGGCCTGACGCTGTCGCTGCACGCGCCCCCCCGCGCGGGCGCCGGCGGGAGCCCGGACGCCCTCTCGGGCGGCACCGCCTCGGCCAGCTCGCTGCCGCAGGCCCAGCTGGCGGGATGGGGCGGGCGGCGAGCGGCCAGCGGCGAGAGTCTCCGCCGAGCGACAGGCCGCGAGCGGCGAGCCGCGGGCTCCGAGGAGGAAAAGGTTCCCATACCTCTAATCCCCGCCCGTTTTCCCTTTTTTTTGGGCCTCCTGGGCGGTCCTGTTTTTTTTCCTCGCTTTTCCAATTTTTTTCTCTCGTTTTTCCTTTTTTTTGGCCTCTAATCCCCGTCCTCGTCGCCACCGCTGGATTCGCCTCGAAATCCTGGTCAGAACGCACCCCTGGGGAGGTCCGGGGAGCAGCGGTATCGGTACCTGTTGGTTTCCAGCGACGACGATCGACGAGCGACGATGGAGGACGACGGGGGCGCACGACGAGCGACGACGGACGACGATGACGAACGGCGGACGGTCGACGACCGGCGACGGCGACGGTGGACTATGTCGTCGTCGGCAGCATCGCTTCGGAGGCTCTTTGGGTGTCGTTCCCTGGCGGCTCTCGAGCGCGCTGCTCGGGGCTGCGGGTCAGGAGGGGCCCGTTCTGAGCGGAGTTTCTTGTCGGGTCGGGGACGACGACGAAGGATAACCCCGACGGCAAGCTGTGGCCAGCGACCGACGGCAATCGCGAACGACGACGAGAGGACGACGGACGACGCATGACGAACGACGATGCATGAGGAGAGACGGATGATGGGCGACGACGACGATGACGACGGCGGCGGCGGCGGCGGCAGTGGTGGCTACGACGACGACGACGACGACGTCGACGACCGCGACAGTGACGACGACCGATCGACCGACCGACCGAGGACGTGGACGACGACGGCGACGACGACGACGACAACGACGACGACGACGACGACGACGACGACGACGACGACGTCGACCGACGAGGTCTCCAGAGTGCGACGGCGGCGGCGGCGGCGGCAGCGGCGACGACTACGGCCGCTGCGGCGACGGCGGCGGCGACGGCCTCCCGGGCCCCTTGGGGGGCAGAGGCGCCCGCCGCGCCGCCTGCGCGGCGGAGGGCGTACACTGCGCCTTGGGCGGAGGAGGGCGCGCCGCCCGGGCGCAGAAGGGCGCCGCTGGCAGGACGCCGCCGCGGCCGCCGCCGTGGTCGCCGCCCGCCGGCGCCGCTGCCGCCGCCGTCGTCGTCGTGGGCGGCGTCGTCGTCGTCGTCGCCGCCGCCGTGGTCGCCGCCGTCAGCTGCAGGACGGGATGGCGTGTCAGGACGTCGCTGGCGGCAGGCCGCCAGCGCCGCCGCGGACAGGGGGGGGGGGCAGGGGGGCAGGAGAGCGGCGGGGCAGGAGAGCGGCGGGGCCTCTGGCGCGCGGCCCCCCTCGGGCTGGCGGCTGGGCTGCTCGCGGAGGACCCGGCGCCGCTGGACGCCGGAGCCGCGGGGGGGCCAAAGCGGGTCGGAGTCGGGCGGGTGGTAATCGGGGGTGGCCGAAGTTGGGGGGGGGGTGAAGCACAAGGGCCACAGAGGGGCCTTTGGGGGCCCTTGTGGAGCCAGCTGGTGCCCATGGAGGAGGCAGGGCCCCATTCGGGGCCTTCTCTTCACCCCTCGTGTGGGGCACCCCCCGTGACCACCCGCCCGGCGGAGGTCGATAGGTCTTCGCCTCTCGTGTGGGTCCCCCCCCCGTTGCCACCCGCCCAGCGGAGGTCGACAGGAAGCCACACCCTGTTGGGCCGAACGAAAGGGGGGCACAGGGAAAGGGGCGGTTACGAAGTCTGCTGCATGCAGCTGGTTTCGGCTCCGCCGCTGGGTCCATCCTCGACACGTGGGCGCCTCCTGGCGCCGGGAGGCGCCGGGAGAATCAGCTCCGTGAGCTGATTCTCAGACCCCCTCTTTGCTATCCCCCCTTTCGCCCAGCCCGCCCCTGCGAAGGCGATTCATCAGCGAAGGGCGCGCAGCTCCGGTGCTCGACAGGCTGCTGCGGCCGCCGCGTCCCTGCCTGCGCCCGCCGGGCCTGGTCCCGCAGCATTGTCACCGAAGGGGGTGTTGCCGAAAGGGGGTCGCGTCCATCCCCAGCAGGACACGCGCGTCCGACGCGCCCTTCCCCCCGCCTCCTGTTTCTCTTTCGCCGCCTCCTCCCACGTCCCGGACTTGCGGAGGAGGAGGGGAGGGAGCGGGAGAGAAAGGAATGGACAGGAGCAGGAAGAACAGGGGGGAGATGGAGGAGGAGGAGGAGGACGACGACGACGAGGGGGAGGGATGGAGAGGGGGAGGAGGATAAGGGTGAAGGGGGAGGATGTGGAATGGAAGGAGAGGGCGGAAGAGGAGAAGGAAAAGGGGGAGGAGCTTGGAAGCGGCGAGTAGGGATGACGGGCAAGAGGAGCAACAGTTTGGAGGAACTGGGACGAGGATGATGCGGAGGAAAAGGGGAACGAGAAGAAGGAAGAGGAGGAGGAGTAGGAGGAGGGGAAGTAGGGAGCGTACGTAGCCATTTGGGCTCAAGTCCGTAGCGGTTCGCTCGCATTGTACTCAGTGTAAGATGCACAAGCGGACAGTGTTCGGCGGCAACAATTCTAGACGCTGCGCGTAACCCCACCAGCCCATCCAGAGACGATGCCCAGTGGATTTACCTCGATCAGGGAAGTGGGCAGCACTCAATTGAAGGGTCCATTTTGGAGCGCTCTTGGGACACTCTTGGGCGCTCTTGGGGCCGTCTTGGGGCTCGCTTGGGCCTCTCTTGCGTCTTGGGGGCCTCTTGGAGCGTCTCGGGGAGCCTCTGGGGACCTCGTGGGGGTCTTTTCGGGGCCTCTTGGAGGCCTATTGGGCGCCTCTTGGGGCCTCCTGGGCGCCTCTTGGGGCCCTCTTGAGGCGCTCTTGGGAGCCTTGGGAGCGCTCTTGGGGCCATCTTTGACAAAATCGATCAAACAAAGGGGGCAGGAATTAACGCTGCCCCTCGGGAGCTCCACAAGTCGCCTCTTGGGGCGCTCTTGGGGCCCTCTTGGGGCTCTCTTGAGCTTCTCTTGGGCCCTCTTGGCCCATCTTGGAGCCATCTTGAGGCCTCGGATGGCCATCAGAAGCGAAACAACGAGAAAGCAAACAACACGTATTTCCCCAATGTTTTCGAAGGGTGTTGTCCTCTTCGGGGCCTCCTGGGGGAGCTCTATGGCCACTTGGAGCCGTGTTGGAGCGGTGTTGTGGCCTCCTTGAGCATCTTTGGAACCATCTTGAGGCATCGTGGGATATTCTGAGCCATCATGGAAGTCACTTTTGGTTCTCCCAGGCACTCGTGGAGCCATCTTCATCAATGCCCTCCCCCCCCCGAGGATGCCAAAATGTTGCCGGCACCTTGATGGAACCAATAATATTGGCATTCTCGCCGAGGCCTCTTAGGGTGGTTTGGGTGCCTCTGGGGGCCTCCTGGGCACCTCGTGGGGCTCTGTTGGCGCGCCCTTGGAAGCCTTGGGGACAATATCAGGGCCATCGTGGATGACATCGATCAAACAAGAAGGGAGTTTTAACTAGTGGCGCCCCCCCAGAAGGCCAAACTTAGGCCAAAACCTTGTACAACCAGTGAGGTTGGCTCCTCGCCGAGGCCTTTCTGGACGGCCCCATATGGTGTTGACACCTCGCGACCGGCCCCATCCAGACCCAGGGGAGGGGGGGGGGTAAACCCTTCCTCGAAGGGGAAGAGGGACAGATGGACGACAAAATTTCCTAGACCACCTACGTCTAGAAGGGCTGGTGGGAGCATGGCAACGGTGGCTCCCCTTCCAAGGGTAGTACTGGTACCCCAGCGAGTCACCAAGAAGTTGCAAGCTGAGATCTCGGAGCTGCAAGCCAAAGTACGTGATCAGCAGAAGTTGAAAGCTAATCGTGGAACACAACCCGTGGAACACATCCCAGGCAGGCCACGGATGTGGATGATGGACAACAACCGTATGGTAATCTTCTCGATGGACAGGCCGCAGCTTTTGAGGTCACTTTGCAGCGACTTCCTGAATATTTGGTTCGCGATGTACTCGAGCTGGGACCCACCAGAGGCGAATTCTCACAGCAGCGCGACAAGCTTCACGCTGAACGACATGAGTGGAAGCCCGTTGGAGCTCAGATCTTGGATGTCAACCGGAGACTTTATGTATCATTTTGATTTACGTGTACAGAGGGAGCTCAAGCGGCTCGAGGCGCCGGTCAAGGCGGACAACGAGAGTGCCGCGCCAATTCTTGCACAGCAGGTTCCGGCGGAGGCACGGCGGGCAAAGTTGGCAGCTTCAACGCCCCCCCCCCCCCCCCCTTGGGCCAGGGCCTGAGCAACCCGGGGGCCGCAGGGGCACTTGTTCACGGCGGGCATTTTGGAGCACGCGCTCCGAAAGCATGAGGCGGAAGGAGAGCTCTTGGACATCATCTCCAAAGAAGGGGGCCCGCAGTTTGCAGCGGCGCCTGAGAAGTCAGCGCCTCGAGAGCCTGCGCCAGCGCAGCGGCCAGTTGCGGATGCGACGCAGCAAGCTGTTGCAGTCTGTTGGGTTTGCGGCGTTGCCGTCGCTCCAAGAGAGGATGGGATTTCGTTTCGGGCGTTTGTCGCGGACTCGGTCTCGGTCGATGGCCCTGGGGCGCGCGGCCCGGATATTCCGGAGCTCCTCGCCGCAGCCGACGTCGCGTGCAATGGGTCCACGCTGTTCAGCCCATATAGTTGAACGCGTCGCGCATCCTCTCACTCGTTGTTTGCCGTGTTCTGCGCGCATGAATCCTCTAATCACGATGGTCAACGTTCAGTTGTTCTGCTGGGGGATCGTCGGCAACGCTGCGCGGTCACGCGCGTGGTTTCTCAAGAGGCAGCTCTATCCACTGCAGAGGTGGCGACTGCCTCCCCTGTCTTGGCACCCTGGGCGCTCGTTGAAATATGTCCAGAGGCTTCGCCTCTCACTGCGATCGACGCCCCCCCTCGCTGGCCCCCGGGGCCTGGGCGATTCGGGGGCCAGGGCCCGACAGGGGTCCGACGACCATCCGCCCCGTGCCAAACCAGGGTGGTCAGCGACAAGAACAGGTCTGCAGGTGGCAGGGTCTTTCATGGGAAGTGCGTCGAGTCTCAGGGCAGCTCGGAGGTTCTCGGACAGCTGGATCACTGAAGTCAAGTCCTGAAGGTCGACGATCCTGACACTTCCACGCAGCCTGGTCGCGCGGGTTCACCGCCTCCCGCCCCTGCAGGCCAGGGATCAGCGGTGGTGCAAGACTACGCAGATGCGCGACCGGACCTCGCGCGCGTGGGCAGCAATGTGGATAGAGGGCGCGCATCGGGCGCCGCGCGCCAGCGAACGGTGGTCGCGGTGGCGCAAGCTGCTCGTGAATTAAATCCCCCAGCGCGAATGCAGTCGCGGTTTGGCGATTTACGTGGGAAGTGGTTTCCAGGGCGATCGAGAACACATATTATATCACGAGCTTTGATCCAGCGCTTGGGGACAGGGCGAGTCGTCGCGGCGGCGAGTTTTTGCCGCGGCATCTGGTCACGTGGTCTCCGGGCGAGGATATGCTCAAGAAGCGCACCATCGGCGCCAGCCCTCGCCGCCGCGGGCCGCGCGCCCCGGGCCGTCGGGGCAGCGGCCCCCCGCCCCTGCCTCAGTCGATCTGATCTGGGCGGCGGGCAGGCAGCGCCTCGCGACGCGAGAGGCTGCGCGGGAATTGGCAGAGGCGCGGCGATGGCTGAGGGGCTGCTCATTATGGTGGGGTTACTGGCGCAGGCTCTTCGGTGGGTTACTTGACCCGAGCGCCCGGATATACTTTCGCTCCAGAGCGTCGCGCGCGCGGGTAGATTCGTCGCTCTGCAACGACGGGCGCAGGAACTCAGCAACCATGGGCGACGGGCAAAGTCTTCGGATACAAGCGGCAGGAACTCGAGGAGACGCGGCTGCGCTGCCTGCGACAGGCAGCACCGAGGCCCCGTTTATCACGCAGGATGTTCTCCCTGATCATCGGCCTGCAGCGGCTCGCGTACAGTGGGGCCTTTCAGGGGGAATAGTGGTCATGAGTGCTTATCTTTCTGATGGCCAAGGTTCGCATGCGGAAAATTTGCCCATCGTGCCGGGCAGTATTCGACGCGCGGGGCTGTTCGACATCCGGCGCATGGGCTGGAGAGTCTCGGGCGACTTGGATTTGCGGCCCGATGCATGGGTCGACGCTGGTTGGAGCAGGCGCGAGGCTATCCAGGGTGGCTCGATACTTCATTTTGCCACAAGTGCTGAAGGTGCGACCTATGACTGCTCTTTGGTCCCCGCTAGCCTGCGAGCGCGATTCAAAGAACCCGACGTGGATCTTGGCCCAGTTGCTGCAGCGCATTAATCTGTTCAGTGTCCTTTGCAGGTTACTACTGACGCACCGACGTGGAAAATAGTTTTGGTCGATCCAACGGACGATTCGGCGACGCAGCCGATCGGTGGCCCGTTC